TCCTGGCATCGCTACTAAGAGCAAGGACACTACTAGGGGCTCCTGGCCGTACTACTAGGAGCAAGAAGCTACTAGGAACAAGGGCATCGCTGCTAGGGGCTCCTGGCATCGCTACTAGGAGCAAGGACAGAGATTTCAAGCCAATCCGTCGCCTCGTCTCTCAGGGGGTCATCCTGCAAGTCCAGCAGCCCGGCACCCTGGTTGGGTAGACCCCACCAGTCGCCTGGCCGAACAGGACAACTCCATTCAAGGTGTTGGAAACAGAGAGGTTCAAATGATTGATTTGATTGTAACTAGATTGATTCAAATTGCATGATTCATGCACGTGTGTGTGTTCCTTGATTGCTTGCAATGGCATTGCCATTCCCAAAGTTCTGCTTAGTGATGAAACAATAGGCTCATGTGTGAACCCTAACCAAAGCCCAGAACTGCTTAGCTTGCCAAGGACGGATCTCGAATTAAAGCAGGATTGCCGGCAGGAAGATACCCGTGCTCCGCGCTGACACTGAATCATGGCTCATCCTGTCTGCAATTCCAGTGCTCTTGACAATAACTATGATATCACCTCATTGGTCTCAAATCCTCCAGCTCCGTTGACAAATGAGATCGGAGTATGCCCGCACGTTTGGGTGAAAGGATCAGTTGTAGTCTTTCCACCCCCGGATTCTAAGCACGGAGAGAAGTTTGGAAGAAACGATCTGCCTTGGTGTGGCCACCCTACGTGAAGATGCGGTGCTTTGGTGTGTCCAGTCAATCTTGTCCACCAAGGAAGATTGTTGTCGCACGCCAAACTCAACTCTAACCAAAAACTCAACTTGGAAAGAATGCAACAACTTTTTCAATCAGTGGAGAAAGGCCCTGGCCCCTGGCGCGGATGGACTGATCAACACCCCCGTCGCTGCCCGTCGGTGCACGCGAGCCTTTCGCTGTCTTGCCGGTGCCTTTCTGGTGGGTGCCCTTTCTTGGCAGATGGCTGCTTGGTGCCTCTGGCTTTTCTGCCTGGGCAGTAGAACAACATGAATTGATAATAACAGGCTGAAGTTTCTTTGGTTCTATTTCATCAAGTTCATTACCTATGAGACAATCACATTTGATGCAGCTAAACAGATATGCGACCCCAAACTTTTCTTGTCACAGGGAAATTGACGAAACACGAGGCATATCCACCGCTGCAAAGCCACCGATCGAATCAACTCATGCTTTGCTGCCACAACAATGGAAGACAAGCCCCCGACATATATATTGCATGGCAATCTGGACAGGTTAATATATTTTCGCAAAAAGGACCCTCAGCCATGTGTGATAGCACATACAGCAAATACCCACATTCTCGTTGTCGCTCGCAGGGCTTGACGGGCTTGGCAGTTCTAAGTTCGGGACAGCTGGGCGTTTGCGCTTCGGGGGCGTATTTCGGGTCACCTGCGAGTTCTAAACATCCAATACGGACAGGAGAATGCATTTCTAGTTTACTCGACTAGTCTCTGCTATGTTTGTATGATATATATATATATATACATACTAATTGCAGGTAGCAACCACAAAAGCAGGCGGTCAGCCGGCGTCACTATTG